AATTTGCTCTACGTTCAGTTGACAACTTTCTTGCTCTTGTCAACTGAATTACTTTGCTCTTTGAGTGAATTTCTGTCTCCATATCAGAAATTTCCAGCAGCTAACTTCTAGCACTGACCAGAGAACACATCACGATTGAGTGATAGTAGGTTATGCAAAGCGAACAGCTGATTTGACAGCGTGACGTCATTATTTCAGAAAATGGTGGGCGCGCATTTGAATTTGTATGAAAATCAAGCAACTTTGACGCTGTTATTTGTCTTAAAACTAGTAAGCTAAATAAAATGAGCTGAGCGGCTAATCACATGTTCTATATAGATTCATGAATCGGAAAATATAAAGGTTTTTGCTAATTTTTATACCCTAACCCGTTTTCTAAGCAGTTATTGATTATGCAATCCCTTGACAACACATACTTTCGCCGTAAAATACTTGTTATTTCCTTTTCGAAGTTTTAGTTTGCAAAAGCAAATGGTATTAATAAGTATTATGTGTTTTTAATCATTTAATTAATTTACAGTTTTATTATACTTATTATAACTTGACTTATAAGTACATCTGAAAATTAATCTATTCAATTTCCTTATTGTGAAATACATTCTACTTCTAAAAATAATTGCTTAACTTTAATATTAATATTAACATGACTTGCCTGTTCAATATGTTTTTCTAAATAATTTTCTGTGACAAGCAAGCTATCACCATTTAAACTACGGAAAATTAATTCTAAACTCTTAATACAATTCATCATTTGCTGTGATGGTTTACAAAGCCCTCCTTCACTAACTTGGTCGACCCAGGTAAATGATGTATCTACATCGTCATCATTCTGCTCTGACATCTTTAGGCGGTGGCAAATATATCCAGCTAAATTTTCCAAGGCATCGTATTCCAATTCGGGTAGATCTTCCTCGTCATCTGTAGGCGCTGGCTGCGTTGCACATCTAAAATGTGAAAGTATAAGTCCTGTAAAGAGAAAAGAATTTTATCTGAAGTTTTAGTATAAGTATTTTAATATTAATACCTGTCATAGAAGGACTTGCTGACTCTAAGTCCGGTGTGTCGTCTGGCGCCACATTTGCATTGTTGGAGAGCACGCCGAAATTTCGACCTAACAAATATGACCGAAGTCTATATTTAAATTCCTGGCGATCGGGATGGTCGTGCATTCCACCTCTGGCTCTTATAATACCAAAGAAGTTCTCCAATACATCTTGGTTGAGCCGGTATGTCAATAAGAATGTTATTTTATCTTTTAAATCGTTGAATAACATTTTTAGTGCATTGTTAGTTTGAAGGATACCTATAATATAAAATCTATTTTATTCTTGTCAATATAAAGAAATACTGCATTGCACAAACCTTTTTGAAATGGCAAAATTTTTGAATTTCTGCCAACTCGCATGTTCAATATAAGGCAGCTCATTTTTTCCAAAATATTATTTTGGGTCTCAAGTGCAAGGCCGTAAGCGTGCATTCGTTCCCTGCTATCTGCTCTTGGCACTCGAACATTGAGAACATCGAACCAGTCATTCGTCTAGAAAGAAACGAGATTTTGTAAAGATGTTTTTTCCACAAATATATTATTCTAACTTACTATTTTAAAAAGTTCATAGCACTCAGCCCAATTATGACCAGTTAAGTACCCAAGGCTTGCTGCTCTTTGAATAGCTGCAGCGACTGTATTTGAAAAGAGCTTTGTTGCCATCTTAACCTTTTGCCTTTCTGCTCTAGCAACAGTTAAATTTTTGTGGCTTATTTTATGGGTGATGAACAAGTCACCCGCAGTTATATTTAAAAGCTCCGATATGATAGCTGCATTAACGGATTTCCCATTAATTATAAATCCGGAATCTATAAAATGATTTCTAATCAATTTAATTAG